AAAAACGATACGCTTTCCCCCCCCCCCCCCCCCCTCCCGTGACGAACCGAGACTTTACATGTCGTTTTTCGGCATCGCAGGAGCGTCGCAGGTTGAAGGAGCGATTCCCCAGTCTCGCTTTGGCGGAGGCCGACGCCGAGACGTGCAGATCCACCCTGAGGAATTACGAGACCCTCGCCTTGGCGAGGGAGGTGTGCGAAGGCAAATGCGCGATGGGACGCACCTGTCCGACCGGTCTTTGCCGACAAGCTTCCAAGAGGTGAGAATCTCTCGTTGAGATCTTAGCGAATCGAGCATATACGACGTTCAATCGCGAATCGTGAGTGAATTATGAACGAAGAACCGTGCACACATGAAACATCTACATCTTGTTGTGAACGTGATTGCAGGAGTCCGAGAAGGAAGTCATCCACCAGCAGCCTCGGAAGCGCGTCTGGCAGGACACCCCCGCAAACGCCCAGACTACTACCGTCCGCGCCACCCTCGCCAGCCTTGCAGCGATCGGCGAGCGTGGTGTCCACCATCGCATCGAGACCGAGAAGCGGACCCGCGGGCTTGCATTCTTACACCGGAGGATCCGCTCCACCTTCCAGGTGAGACGGCTTCGCCGAAAAAAAAGAAAGGATACAGTCGAGACCGAAAATAACTATAATTTCTCTCAGTTGAAATAGCCTTCTTTAATCGACTGTAACGTCGATTCAATGAAAATTGCTTTATTCTCAGACAGTGTCAATCGTTCCCAATGACTTGACTCGAAACATAGGCGTTTAAAATCGCGAAAACTCGAGCCTACCAACGATCGATCGATTATTACAGAGCCGTGTCGAGGGTGGATCTCTCGGCGGCGGCCGCCTGCAGCAGCAGCAACACCAGCCTCTCCGCCGTAGGCAGGTCGAGCGCGTTCTCCAGCAGCAACTGGCGGCTGACAGCCGGTTCTGCGCCGAACACGCCGAGACCAACGCCGCCGGTTTCCCCGCAACGTTGGCCGCGACGGCTCTCGAACCGGCAGACGGCGCAATTGCCATCGTTACCACCGGAATCGCACCCTCCGTTGACGTAGCATCGAGAAAGGCTCGATTCGTTGCTGTCGAGCTTGGTAGAATAACGAACCAAGGGAATCGACTTCACGGGCATCCTCTCCTGCCACCGTTATTGCCCTCTCTTATCGCGGTGGGATGAGTTTTCGTCGTTACACTTATCATTATCGGATGCGCGGACGAATCTCCGTCCGACACAGGGGAGAAAGGAAAAGGCGAGAGATGAACCGGTTTCGAGATGATATGGATTCGTATCGCTGATGACAGAAGATGTGCCTGCCGACGTTTTGCAATCGGACGGAACGGTTCGCGCGCGGATGATCGAATCGGCTACACACGATCTACGCAGCGAGGTCGACAACGAGTCGATTCGATGATCGAGCTCGAGTCGGATTGGCGACAAGATCGGACGCACCACGTAGCGCGTTGCTGGGAATTGTTGGTGATACTGACGTATATAAGTTTGTTACCAGTTGTTGCTTATACACGGCGAGAAAGTGCTTTTATCGCGGATACAGGGACACAAGAACGATGGTAGTTTTCGTACGTATCGAGAACACCTTCGTGGGTTTATGCGAACGAATGTAATCTCACGCTCCATATAATTTCACTCTCTTGGGTCCCGACGAAAACACGAGAAACGATATCGGTGAACGCCATCATTGACAATCTTTCATTTGGATGTGTCACGAGAGGCTCGAAGTTAAGTCCGTTCGACGCGATCGATCCGCGGGACGAATTAGTAAAATAAATTGGAGAGATCAATGCATTCGGGACACACGACGGGATTAATCCTTTGGGACTTTATCGATTATGACGACGGTGTAATTAAGTGCGGCGGCTTGTTTCGCGCTTTCACGGCGCGGCTCAATCGCGCTAAAATAATCGCGCCAGTTTAACGATCTTCCTCTGCAATTTCTTCCCTACATACACAACGCGTGAACTATTATCGGCTAATTATCGGTTGTTAAAAAACAAAAGTGCTCGAAGGGTGGCACGGTTATGCGGCACGCGATATCGTCCCGAAGGATTAATTTAGAAATGGAAAAATATTGTTGGCTAGTTTGGAAACGAGCGATTAACGAGAAGTTATCGGGAGATATTTTTCGATAGAATTTAAGACGACAGAGTGAGAGTATATAAAACGTAAATAGGCTCACGGGTATCCCGGATCTACGATAGCGATCCGGGAGCGATTCGTTTTTGCGAAGGACCGAACGGAATTTCGCTGATTGCGTCACGATGCGCGCAGGAAATGGCGGATCTTCGTTCCACCAACTTGTTCCATTAATTTCGCTCACAACCGTCCATACGATTGTTGGCTTTCTAGCGAGATCGCACTGTTTTACTGCATGTTGTTGAGACGAAAAAAGAGGGATAAAATGACACATTGATATACACACCTTGCAAACACACACACACACACACACAGAACACAGACATACGTACACATTGTTGCGTGAAGGGCTTTCAGAGAATTTTATAAACGCGTTGGTGATCGCGATTATTATACACGTGTAAAGTAAGTCGTAGATGTTAGGTAAAACTGTTGTTGTTGTTTCGCCATTGCACGAGAGCACCAGTTTAACAAACGAGTCGAGAGATTTATGATAACGTCGCTTCGATCTCCCCAGTATTACTAGATTGCACGAATAAGGTAACGTAGCTCGTTTTTTTCATCATTTTCGCAAGCGTACATATGAAAGAAGCTGTAGCATTGCCGCCCATATTCAATGTGCAATGCATCGTTACAGTAGATACGTACGTACATACATCAAAAAATCGCGCGCATCCCGTGCCATATAAATTTCCCAGGGAAAACGTATGCATTTATTCACGAGCGAGGTCGGTTTTATAGGCATTGCGCACAAGTCACAGGCGTGCACCACCAGGTGTCCGTCATGAATTTTACAGGTCTCCTCCCTTTTCGTAAGGAAAACTCCATCTGAAATTAACCCGCTTTATTCCGTTATTTAATTTCAGAATTTCAGGAGAAAAGTCATCGTCATTTCGACCGAATACGTGACTTTCTAACCTGCCCCGTGGTATATCAAAATGTGAAACCGATCTTGCTCGCGTGTTGGAAAAACGGATGATATTTCCACGCCGTTCCGCGCACACGGTGCGGATGGATATCAAGGGAATTGGCGTGACAAGCGTGTACGAGCATCCTGCGAGTGTACAATCGGATGTAAACGAGCTCGTTTCACGCGTTTTAGGAGAAAATATTTCACGGAAAACGGGCTGATCCGATGGGGTTCAACGTAGCGGAGGTGTGTCTATCGTGAAGATCGCGTCCGCGAAACTGCCGCGCCATGTGTTTAGCTGTGTTTTTTTTTCTCTCTCTTTTCAATGGCGTGACTACAGTCGCGGAGGGATCGCGAACGATCGTAAACTCGTCCGTATTATCGCGGCGACTCGTTTAGTAGCCGTTTGTAAAAACGTGCTAATTAGCCGGTAATCGCCGGACTACGCGGCGTTTTTAACGCCGATCCTCGTCCTGGATGAGAGCGGGTGATTATCAAGGATTGGACGCGTCGCACATATCATCTGCATTTGTGAACCATGTACCTAAACACGTACATATACATATATATATATACACACACACATATATATATATATACGTACATACATACATATATTTTTTAAAGTCGTGATATATGAGATCGGTATATATTCGTGCGAGGAGAGCCGGCGATCAGTCGGGCAGAGAGAGAGAGAGAGAGAGAGAGAGTTTAAATCTCCCGTGCACTTAGCGCGTGTTCAGGTCGCATGTGGCGAATACGTAATGTTTCTTAAACACAAGAGAGAGCGAGAGAAATAGAGAGATAGAGGGAGAAAGTATTTTACACTAAAATTAGCCCACCCTCCACCGGTCTCCCCTGTTGATATCTTATAATGTCGTGTAAAGTGGTCCAAGCGGTGCCGAGAACTAATTTCAACGGAGGTCTATATTTTGTTCGGGGGATCCCCGTATTCGCCGCATGAAGCCCGGGCAACACGGTGCACCCATACATACACATACACACACACACACACACTTTCCATAGACGACGTACGTAGACGGTTCTACTTTTTTACAACGTCAGTGTTAATCGATCACGCAAGACTCGTAGACGTAGTAGAAGCTCCGAGGGTGACGAGTGGCATCGATGCACCAAAGAAGCGGAGTATAGGTAGCCTATTGAATCGAAGCGTCATTAAAACGGTAGCTACGTCCCGGACGTTACGGCGTGTAACGTGCGATCGAAGCCGATAAAAACGAGCGGCGCGAAGGACGCGTTGTTTGGCAAAAAAAAAAAAAAAGAAAGCGTCGGACAATGCGCGCACGGTGCGACGACGCTTAAGAGGGGATTTCCGCGGATAAAGTCTTACAGTCCATTAATTGTTTTCAGCAGATTTACACCGAACGCGATTTCGGTATTCGGAAGAAACGCTCCGTTTAACCGGACATATCGCGCTTTTTCGCGTCACTTCATCTCGCTTCACTCGCTGGTTCATTCGCGAATCCGATGACACGGCAGGAGGAGCATTTCCACCGCTAATCATCCGCTAATAACCCGCAGCATATTCCAGCATTCTTATAGAGATTTGCAGAGATTTGGAAGTAAGTGCATTTTCATTCCCGGGATCCTCTTAAGAGGATCGGATTTTTGAGCCCACTTGAGCGCCAGCACGGCGCGAGCGACGGCAGATCGCACGTTGCACGCGCAAATCGTGATTTTCTAGCAATAAGCGGAGATTATCGACGCCCGCGAGTCACGCGCGAGGAAGTCGCGGGGCGCCGATTGTCGCCCGTAGATATCTAGCGAAGAGCAGGCTTAGTCGTTATCACACACACACACACACACACACACACACACACACACACACACACACACACACACACATGCATATATAGAAAACATACATACACACATACATTACACACAGCTGCGAATTGAATCGTGCGCGATTCGTCCGCGCGCTTTATCGCGCGCTCGTAACTCTAATCGTACTTAGAGATCCACTAGACGCTCGCGACATTATTTATTTTTCTAATGCCAGTGACGGACGTCCATTTGATAGACGATGTTCGCGGGGGTAAGAGGACGCTTGCGAGGGGGGTGTGTGTGTGACAATTGGTCAGCGAGAGAACGCGATGGGTTTGATTCGTATATCCTTCATCTTACGTCGGCGAGAACAGAACACGCGAAACATAAATCGTTGTATCGCGAGATCACTGTTGCACGATGATGTTATTTTAAGGCCACTCATGTGATATTTTTGTAAGCTGCAAAAAGAAACGGTTTTGGTTCACGCTAAAGGTGGTCTCTGAATTATAATAACCTCCCCGCTGGGGGGCGGCCGCGCGGGGCCGCCTTCCCCATTCTTTTTCTCATCTCCCGCGGCTTTCTCCACCCTCCGGCTTCCTCTCATTGTCACGATAACGATCCGCGATACCGCCAGGTGAGAGTTCTGTTAATTTAACTTTAACGAGTTCGCCCGCGCTTGCGAATAATCCGATCGGCGGTTTAACCTGCGCTTCCGCACCGCCCACGTTATCAAGTCTTCCGATACCGCAACGTCTGTTTTTATTTAATATATTAATTGCTGAGAAATATATTAAATGAAATATGTTAAACAGGCTTGCGAAACGCTTCAGCGATTTTCGCGATCTCCCACGTGCTGCAAAAATCGCGGCCGTTTCCCGTTCGGCGACCGATGAGGGCTCACCGTGTATTAGGATGCTCGAATTATCGCCAATTGTAATCAACCTCAATCAACCCGGCACGCTACACCACTATCGAAACCGATACATATTAATGTCGGCTGATACATTTGATTAATGGCCCGTCTATAGAAGGTGTCCCACGAGTAGCGGGGGGGTCAATGCTTCCGCAGCGATAATTCCCATTTTCGCTCGCCGTCGGGGCTATCGCCGTCAATTAATTGAGATATATCGCCCGCGAACGTTACGATCGAGACAAACGCGAGTTTCGACCGCGAGTTTGAACCTCGCGCTCATCAAACCCTCGTCATCTTTTGCGGGAAACGCACGACGAACCCCCTCCCCCTCTTCACCCCCGCGTGCAAATTCAGCCGTCTGTCGGCGAGAGGCGCGCGCGAGGCACGGGAGACTCGACGAGAAATTTTACGCACGAGGGGGGAAGGGGGGGGGGAGTAACGAGCGAGACGAGAACGAGATCGATTTGCCCTTCTAATTATCGACGGGAATCATATGGGCGTATGTGCTGATGAACACGTGGCCGACGATAAGCTACGTGCCACGAGCAGTTCATATATTTGTAGTACAGAGTTGCGCGACGTTAATTATCCGATCTCGGCGACCGAGTAATTTGCCACTTACCCCTCGCCCGCCC